TGAATTGTACCATTTTAAAATTAAACTGAGATCGCGGTTAAATTTGCTTGATCCCGACACCACCATCTAAATCTTAACCTTTTATATATTACACTATATATGGCTCATTTCATCGCTAATAATTATTTTAAATTCAGCATATGTTTCTGTCCACTTAGACTCGTTTATTCATCTCTTCAATCAATCCATACTTTTAATTATTGTATCAAATACTATAAATTATCTCATATTGCCAATCTACTTTCTGTTTTTGATTGTAGATTCATTAGTAATATCTGTATATACTTATATGTTCAGATATTAACTTTGTTTTTCGAGTGTTAATCCTACTGATTATATTTATCGATTTTTGCATGCATTGAAATTTAATTTGTATATTTTCTGTTCTGTTTTAAATTGCATATATATCTCATGTAAAGTACTTAGGGTGGCCTCTCCACAAGTTTTTTCATTTAAACTTATTTGGTTCCCTTATTGAAAATAAAATAAATAAATAAAAAAAAAATAAAAATATATACACATAGATATCATGATATATATATATATATATATATATATATTTATATCATGTACATCATCATTTTATTCATCAATATCATCATTTGCAGAGGCTAGCATCAGTTGATTGTATTGTATTGTTACTACGGTGGTCATCTTCATCGTCATACATTGCAATCACATTCATCAAAAACTCACCCTCACCACCATCTTCTTCTTCACCATCACAACCATTCTCTTCCTCACCACCATCGTCGTCATCATCATCATCGTCGTCGTCATCATCATCATCCTCAAAAACTAACCACATATATTAAAGCAGCTGTAGTGAGAACAACGGACATAGAGGAGAATAAAATAATCCATTTCGTTACAGCGCCGTCGTTACTACCACCACCACCACCACTACTACCACCACTACTACTACCACCACTACTACTACTACTACTACTACCACCTACACCACTTTGGCTGCCTCTTTTACCGCCACTAGCACTACTTATACCACTGATCAAATTTTTATCGGGACTACCATCGTCATTAAATTGATTATTATTATTATTATTATAATAATAATAATTATTATTATTATTATCATCACGGCCGTCAGTGTAGCCATCGTAATCGTCATCGGGGTCATCATCACCATTTAGTATGACGTCAGTGTGGCACTTGTAACCAGCATCATTGTACAGAGTTGAAAACAGAAAGATGATGACGACGATGACGATTG